GCAGGAGCTCCATCAGGTCCCTGAAGGCTGCACTGCAGACCAGCTGGAAGCGGCCCTCTCCTCTAAAGGAGCACACCTGGTGGGTGTATTGAACATCTCAGGTGTCTGTCTGCTCCCAGCAAGCTGACTGTGTGTGTTTGTTTTGCAGCTGCTTGATACCCTGAGGACTCTGTCTGAGAGAATAGCTCATAAAAGAGAGCAAAGCCAGAGCGGGGGAACATTTGGTACGTAGCTCTGAATTACACAGGTACAGTCATGCTACATAAAACTTCTTCATACTTACACATTCATTTCCAAATATAGCCCCCAAAATCAATGCCTCCATGAGCTGGGTGGAGTGGGAGGAGCAGACCTGTGATCAGATCAGCTGTCTGCATTGCGCCATCGGCTCCCGGGTAATGAACCATGGAGACATGTAGGCTTTGAGGAATGAAGCACGCTGCATGTCTCTGATGATGCTTCTCTTCCAATCAGATTCCTCTGAGGACCACGTGGATGGGCAGGACCATAAAACTGCTGGATTTTGTAGGAAGATGTCACATTTCATTATTAGGTAAGTTTGGTTAATCATATTGGAACATTTCGTGTTTTTGGATAGTTTCCTGAATGATGCCAGTGTGTCTTTTCTCTTCTACTGTACAAGGTAAACAAATGTGCTACTTCTGCCTATGAATAATTACAAATAAAAACGCTGTTGATGTGAAAAGTTGAATACAAAAGTGACTACTCAACATTGTACAGCTCCTCAACTTTAACTGTGCTGAAAGTGAGCTTGATTTAATAATTATTCATGTGTGATAAATATAAATGGATCATTCAATCCTCTCATTGGTGTTCCATTAGCTGCAATAAACCAGCAGTGTCAAACAACTTTAGCCAATCAGTAGTGAGCATTTAAATGCATTATAATGTATTTGATACACAGATAAAATCTATACCGATGAATAATATGGTGAACATTAATGTCTGCTACCTGTGATTTTATATAAGGCTTCTTTTGGAGCCAAATAAAATAATCTTCCTATTCAGACCTCCTGCATCACTAACGCAATGCATGTAATATCTCCCGTAGCAAGCAAACGCAACACAGTGCACACAGCTTTGTTAATGCACAACATTAGTTCAACCAGTCTGCGAGTGTAGCCTAACATATTTTCTGAGATTGTGTTCTCTCTCCTCTGAAAAGTGTGTTGTTCGTGTGTCATTGATCCCTCTGTTTGCAGATGAGAGGAGCAGATGGCCCCCTGGCTCAGTGAGCTACCTGAAGGAGTCCAACACTCTGGCTGTGAGCTGTAAGGTGTGTTTCACTCACACACCTGGTCCTCTTTACTGCCCCCCCCCATGCACAGCTGTATTGCTATATTTCTATTTGCGTTTTGACATAATATCCAAATGTCCCTCAAATAATGTCTGTAAAGCCTTTTCGTAAATTGGTGTGGAGTGTGCAGCATGGTCACGTACCATTTGTATTTCAAAGAAAGGTGAGGCTTCAGTGTGCGTAATCTGTGACTGAGCCCTGCTGAGCAGCTGACTGCAGACTCCCCCTGCCCTGCTGAAGGACTGCATCAAAAAGTCTTTGTTCATAAACTCATACAATACAAAGACCTACACTTAATACAATATACACTAACATACACAGAACAAACAAAGCAGCAGTAGTCACAATCTTGTGCGCTAACCACATGTGAGTTCTTATTGAGCTATATTTCTTACTCCCATAGTGCTCTTTTGGCTCAGTCCCTCACAAACTAACCAGGATCCTCTTAAAAAGATATGATGATCTCTCCAATGGAAAAATGAATATCATTTATTCAAGCCATTCTACAATAAGTTCACAAATGTTTTTTTCTTTATGTTTTTCCATCACAGCATGGACTCTTGGCAAATGAAACAGACACACCCGAGTGTCTCTAGTGTCTGGGATCTGCTGCATTCACTGGCCGTTTCTCCATGTCGAGTAGAGCTGCTGCAGAGCCACTATTTCAGTATACGTCATCGAGTGGCGCCGAAAGAACTGTTTAAATGCATGTTAAATTCCCAGCATTCGGCGCCACTCGATGACGTAGTATACTTGAAATTAGTGGCTCTGCAGCAGGTATACTCGACATTGAGAAACGGCCAGTGTCCTCTGTATGCTTTCTTGTTACTGCTGCCATGGTAATCGTGACACCTAGTGGTTACAACAGGAACTGTTTTAACATAAGGCCGTCCCTGGCTGCATTCACTCTATTCAGTTTTAGTTTGCAGCACTTATTATGTAATTCCCGAGTTTCAAGGACTGAAACACAATCACAAAGTGACTCGTTTTTTATTCCAGTGATATACTGAATACTCTGGGCCGTGATTCAGAAAGCAGGATTATTTCAAACTGTTATAGGAGGAAACTGGGTGATCAGCATTTCAGAGAAAACTAAATGTGTTATCAAGAAGTAGCTGAAAAAAGCCACTGGACGCTGGATGTTCAAATACATGATACACATAATGAGGTAGCTGTCAGATGACTGTAGTAATAGTAAAGTATATATTGTGTTATTGTACAACATTGTTGTCACAAACACTGGATCAGATTGTGAGCTTGCAATAATGTATTTATAATTATAACAAATTCACATATGCTTCATCTTCAGTTGCTGGCCCCTGTGTTTTTCCCCTTTCGTATTAAAGCTGAACAAATGTATGTCAAATATAATGAAAGCCCTATTTATTCAATGTAAGTGAATTTGTGCAGCCCTCCTCTTTGTGTTAATGTGTGCTCCCTGCTCCAGGACGGCTGGGTGGGCTTCAGGTCTGTGGTCCTGAAGAAGAGGCTGACAGCAGGGGACTTCTATAACGGCTACCTGCACCAGACCCTGCACAGGAAGTCAGCCTGTGACATCACCAGAGCACAGTTCATCACCAGGAAACATGGAGGAGACGCAAAGGACATGAGAGAGAACTCTACGTCATGACGTTTCCTCTTCAATATGAACACTACAGATATCAGCTGCTGGGATTTACTGTATTTCGTGTGTTACTCTGTCTGTTTAAGACATCTGCAGGTACAGTGTGACTGTAGTTGTACTATACTTTGCTTTTATTGCAATAAATGATATTGCTGTTGATTTATTTCAGGAACAATCAGGAACTGTTTATTTCTATTAGAACTAAGACAGAAAACGTATTACACTTCAAACATTAGCATTGTGAGCATGTTAGCTTGCTGATGCAATTTAGCTGATTTCATTTAGCTCACAATCTGATTGCAGCTTCACAGTCCGACAGCTGCGGACTTGTATCAGGTTAACATGAATTCACACTGATAAAGACAACACTTTGTATATATATTTATGTTTGGCTTCTGTGATTGGCTACATAAAATGCATTGTTAATTGTCTTGGGATGCAATCACTTGAGTTTTGAATATTAAGAACAATGTTATAAGTATTGTAAGAATGATTTACCCTCAATATGCCAGCTGTGACATGATACAAGGTCATATGTTAGAGGCAAGCATTATGTGGAGGGAGACCTGTGGAACATACAGTATAACACATACTTCTCATCATGAGTGGATTGTCTTCATGCCCTGAATAAATGGCAGCGAGGACATGATGCCTTTTTCCATCCATTTAAAAATTCTGTTCCCAGACCTTTGTTTCAAAGGCGCAATAATGAAAATAAACATATCAGAAAAATAATTCCCACACACTTTTTTGAAAGTGGCAAACCATTCAACGTGATGACCTGCTCACTAATAGGCTTCTGGAAAATGAAGGAATCCGACACAGAAAATATTTATTGAAAAGAGGGTAAATCTTGTGTGTGATGGGGTTAGCTCTGTGCAGCTCCCTGGCCCAAACACAGTGACCTTTCATTTGAATGTTGAATGTCCCTGTGAATGTCCCCTCTGTGGGATGAGTCAAAGTATGCTCTGAAACACATCATGCCTCCTTACCAATACCCCTGTAGGTGTAGGCAAAGTCGGCTCATAGCACTCAAAGACTGTAGTCATCACACGCTTCTGTCATAACATGAATTCATAATTTATACACAAACATCAATACAATTAATATATTCTCATAAAAGTATATTGTTTATGTCCGCAAATGACGTACATAATTATTTACATAAAGAGCAGGAGATTGAGATCCAACCACAGACAGAGACACACAGCGCCTCTGAGTTTTGCTCAATAAATCTTGCTTACTAGTTTCACTCAAGATCTAACCATTGCCACTGCATCAATGCCTTCGTCATAGGTAAATGTCTCATCCCCTCAGTGTCTGGCCAAAGTGTTGGAAAAGGTTAATTTAAACAAAGATTCCTTTCAGCGTGAACAGCTCTGGTTCTGCTCAGGGTTTTTAAGGACAAGCTGGCACAGAATGCATCAACAACACTAACCGCAGGATCCAGTAGGAAAAGGCATGTGGAGATGCACTACATGTATTGCATCTCCACATTAGTTGCTGTATGTTTTTAGTTATGTTTTAAGTTTTTAATGATCACATGGTACATTTGGGATTGGCTATTTATGACTCACTTACTTAATTCTTTTGCTGAAGATATTCACTTTTATATTGAATATTACTTTAGCTGGAACATGTGTTTTCTTGTAAAGATGTTGCTTCTGCATATAATAATAAAAAAATAATAAAATAACATTTTGCACTGAACACTCTGGTGTTGGATACTGCTTGTATAATGCTTACATTTCAATTTAGAGTCTAATTGCTCTATTGTAGTTCCTATTTAATTACACTTTTTTAGTTTTGGATCTATTTTGACCTTTCTCCATGTAAGATACGTATTTATCTTCTCTGCTGCAACACCAACATTTTCCTTCTGGCCATCAATAAAGGTGATCTGATCTTTTAATAAAACATGAAGCTGATGAAGCTGGACAGACTGTCTGGAGATGATCATGCTGTTTCTCTGGACTGTACCACGTCCCACTCTAACTCAGGGAGCTGTCAAGTGCACTTTCACTTCCCTTTGAGGAAAACTACAAATCAATTAAAGGTAATGCGCAATGTTTAACATTAAAGTATAACTCTACTTAAAGTCAATAAAACTTATGCTGAAGGAAATAGCCCTTATCATGTTGGCTCTGCTCTCCCCCCCCCCTCCTGTGGTAACGGTTCAGAGAGACTTCCATTTTACACGGTGACTGCTAGCTGAACCTAAAGTGACAGAGCACAACTTCTCCAGTGTAGCAGCCCGCCTCTCTCCAGACACAGCATGCTTAGCGTTATACTGTAAGCTGACCAGACCAACACGACATTTTGTTTTAAGCACAAGTCAAATTAACAGTGGCGTAGAAAAACGGGTAAGTTTGAAATTATTAGACGCTGTTGTAGCTAGCTAACGTTACCATAACAGTCCCAGTGTGTAGCTGTCAGTTGTTGTCTTAATAATGAAGCTTGCGCTAGTGTAAAGCTCGGCGTAGTATCCACTGTTATGGGTTGAACGGCAGTTAAATATGACAGTAATGTGTTTATGAAATGACGTCATGTTAGAGTTGCTGTGGTTTACAGCAGTACGGTATGATGTCAGCTGTTTGAGGAGCCGTGAAGCAGCCCCGGTAACGTTACGCTTCGCATTTCAGAGGTCTGTTAAAGAGAATGTCACCAAACCCGGAAGTGGCCACAGTCACTCCTCTCTGTTAGCATGTCCCTCACAGGACCCTGCTGAAAGGCTGGTTCTAAACACTTCCGGCATAAGGTATTACTGTCTAAATACTTTCTTCTTCATACTTTTCAAGAGTATGTCTAAGACAGCACTCAATTATCTAAATTACTTTGAGTTATTAAGACCAAATGGCTTTGGGTATCAATGTTTGCCTTACCACATTTGTTAATTTATGTTGTCATACAACTGAACTAGTCATGAAATCGTTTTTATTGATGGACCATGATATGAAGGTAGATATGGTGCAAAATGCAAGAGCGTGTAAAACCTGATGTGAGCACTTGCAGAAAAAAAATCTGAGTTTAGGCATACATTTACAATTGTATAAAATATCCACGTATCTGTGAACCAAATTTGAAGTCACAGAAGAAAAAGTGTTGTAGTTTGTAGAAAAAATATGAACTTAGTGATGAAATATTCACTTGCAGAATTTCTTTTTTTTTTAAATATATTTTCCATTACAACTGCAACTTGGTTATTACAACCTCTCAAATCAGTCATTACAACTTCACAAATCTGCTCTGTGGCAGTATAAAACGGCGGCCTTGACTTTTGCTTGTGCCTGATAAGCACGGGTTTTTCCTGTTCGCGCCACAGTGGAGCCGGCTCTTTTCCCCGAAAACCGGTTCTTACCAAGCTCGGAAAAAGTGTCTGTCCCGTCTAGAGACAAGAACCGCATACGTCACGCTTACGTCGGAGGTGGGCAAGATTAATCTGAACTAACAGTTTATGGCGAGTACGGCAAATACAAGTTGAAACAAGCGGTAGCGCTGAGCAAAGTGACTAGAACGCAACCACACACACACAAAAAACACACTTTATAATGTCAGGCAACACTAACCAGGCTTCGTGTGAGACTGTTTATTTGTTCCTTACTTTGACCATCCGTTCGTTGTTATTGATCATTGTGAAGGGGGCAGACGTTTTGTTTTGTATTATAGCAGCTATCAGATGGAATCAATACATGGGCTGCACAGGTTGTCATGTCCGACTAGAATCATAATGAAAAATACGCCGGTAAAATTTGCCTGTAGAAAACGGCTTATGCCACAAGTTAAAGCAACAAGTAGCCTAGTCATATAGTCAGTTAGCTTCGGTTGCTATGCTAACATCACCCATTTTATACCAGAGAAACTTTCATAACAGCGTTGTGATGCCAAACAGTGTCAATTCATACTGAAACACATTCACTTATGGGGATGGGGGATATTTATCAGCTGCTTGTGTGACAGTCAGACTGTGAATACATTCCAGCGGTCGGTAAATGCCGCTGAACCACATTAATAATGTGTCTGTGCTTTCACTTTGATCTGACTCTGTAAACTGGGGGTTTGCCAATCGATGTGACATTTACTCACTATGGTTAGGTA